AGCAAACTAATGAAAGGCAGGTGAGTGAGGTGAGCAGGACGATTGGTGGATTGTGAACAGGTGTGTGGAGCCAGCAGCCAGGAGACGTGGGGGAAGGAAAGTCACGCCGACAGACACACAGATAACAAACAGGGGAGACAAAACTCTGAACGTGGACAGACTCGACCCAGCATCAAAGTTTATTCATCTAAAGGAGGAAGGCAATAAATCTGCTGAACATTATGTGCAAGAATGTGAATCTCTCCTCTGTAGCCAAACAGTACATGCAGATGTTCTGTGGGGGTTGGTGAGATGCAGGACTTCCTGGTGACAGAGTGCAAAATGAATGTAGTGAATGAAAGAACAATATGGCGCCCTCTTGAGTCACATAGGTCTGAAGAGACACGTCAGGACCCTGCTTGACCTCATGTTTGCAGACTGATGAAACTTTCTCCATTGCTGTAAATCAAAATGTTTCTGTGCAGCGCTCACGTAGGTTTTAAAGGGTTAAAGGAAAACACTGAATTGTAGGAACTTTAGTAGTGGTGCTGCTAAACTACTCAGTGCTGTTCTCACTCTAATCTAATCTATTTCAGGTTTACACCAGTGTAGGTGGCTTCACAGGTGTCCCTAAACAAAACCTCCTCCAAAGCTTTTTAATGAATCATCTACTTTTATTGCTGACTGGATCATTTGTGTAAAGTGGGGCAAGTTCTACTAAAATATTTTCTTCCAAGCTTATATTTGTTTGCTCATGCCCTGTGGAACCAAAATCAGTTTTAATGCCCAGCAGCCGGTTTTTGAAACAAAAATGGAATCAACCGAAGCGCTGGCCACAATGATGGACGCTGCGCATGACAAACATTTCTCCAGAGTTGAGGCCATTTCTAAAGAGCGATTTACTCGGATTGAGCAAAGCTTTGACTATCTCCAGACAGCTTTATCATTATTAAAAGAAGAATCCCGTGCACTCCGTGGAGATCATGCGACTTTAAGGAAACGCACAGAAAAAGTAGAGCACACCTCATCTTTATTGTCAAGCACGATAAAGTCGGCTGAAGCAAAGTTAGCAGATCTTGAAGACCGCAGCAGAAGAAACAACATCTGTGTTCATGGACTGCCTAAAAGAAGAGAAGGCTCTATTTCCATACAATATCTTCCCACCCAGAGTGCTGTGGTTCCCCACTTCAGGAGACGCACCACCTGAGATCATGAGAGCCCATCAAATTGGCCCTCCCCGGGGTAACGCCGCTACCAAGCCAAGAGTACTCATCCTAAGGTGTCTTCGGTAAACAGACAGAATTCACATCTTAAAAGTGGCAAGAGACTCACCGTTGCAGGAGTCCGGGAAGGAGGTCCGCTTCACGGCAGACTACAGCGCTGACAATAAAAAGCTGTGGAACACTTTTAATGATATTATGGGCAGAACAAGCAAATCAACTCCATCCTGTTTGGAAGCAGAAGGAAAACTTTATTTTGTAACTATTTTAATTGTAAAGTAAACAAACGTAGGAATGAAATGGATCAAACAAACAATAAGCAATCAAATGACCTAATAACACACCACATTATGAAAGTTAAAAATTATAAGTTCAAATTTACTGAGGTTACTGTAAGCTAAGGAAAGACAAACCATTAGGTATCGATAATTTGGATGGGCGACTACCAGCATGCTTATAGAGAGGGGCGCTCCACTGAAACTGCTCTCACTCAAATGCCAGATGATTGGCTCAAAGAAATTGGCAGTAACACATTTGTAGGTGCTGTATTATTGAATTTAAGTGCAGCTTTTGTTATAATTGATCATAGGTTGTTATTACAGTTTTTCTCAATTGCTAAAACACTAAAACCCATTGGCTGAACAAAGTTCGAAATCATTTAGCTAATTGTGCAGTCTGTTGTCGATACCTTAAACCATTTCACATGGTAAAACAACAATTAGCAGTTCTGACTTAGACCTTTCAGCAGAACTCTAAACACATTCTGCACTCTAATGCACATGTCATCCATACTGGTAAACACAAGTGGCAACAATCAAATACAAATAGACAACACATGTCATTGATTAAATACAACCACTCAAAATTGATTTCACTTGTTTCAAATCATGTGACACAACCAATAGAAGCCAGTTCAGAGAGCAAACAGCTTGTTGAAGGTGGGACGGAGAATTCGTCTGGCTCTGAACATTGTGCTTTCCATTGGTTTACAGTACTGACTGCTCAATAGATTTTGACTGGTTGCAGGTTCATATCAACAAAGAACAAGAAGTTTGTGAGATGCAGGGTACAGTACAGTAAAAATAGGGGTACAAGGAGGAGGAAGAACCAAAAAAAATTGCAAAGACCTAAGCAGAGTATAATTTCTGATCTACTATAAAAGAACATATTTTCATTCATCAAAAGACAATGACAATGTTTTTTATTTTTTGGTGTATAATTTACTGACTGCTTGATAGTGTACAGTATATCCTTTTGATCGCTTTGTTTATGATTTGAGAGCAGCGTTTGGTTTTGAGCTTTGTGTTTAATGTTTTCAGAAAATGGAGCAAGGTTTCAGAAATTGTGTTTTAGCAATTGAGAAAAACTGTAAAAACAACAAAAAAAAACTTAAATGTTACCGATTTAATCTGACTGTAATTCTTTGGCTGGAGAGCTTTTTGACCAACAGGAAACAAAGAGTTTTCTTTAATGGAAGGTTTTCTGATGACAAACCTATTAGCTGTGGAGTTCCTCAAGGAAGCTGTTTAGGTCCATTGTTATATGCTGTTTACCAATAAATTACCATTAATCACGTATAGGGCAAAAGTGAGCATTTATGCTGATGATACAACAGTATACATGGCAGAACCCACAAGAACTCGCAAGTGTATTAAATAGGGAATTGCAGTCTGTAGTTGAATGGGTAACGAATAACGAACTAGTTCTTCATGTCTCTAAAACAAAGATTGTATTATTGTATTTGGGACAAATCATTGCTTAAGAAAAGAGCCTAGGTTAAAGTTGTATGTTAATGATGTTGCACTTGAACAAGTTCATGAAATTGAGCTTTTAGGTATTATAGTAAATATTGCATATTGATGAATTGGTGAGTAAGATGGGAAGAGGTCAGTGATTAGGGTATGTTCTAAATTTTACGCATTATCCATGATGATACAGAAATGAATGAAAAAAGCATCCTGTCAATATTTAAGTGAACCCCCAAAATGTCACAAATCATGTTTTTAGGGGATCTCAAGTCTTATTCCCACTGACTCACCCATAGTTCACAGCCTTTCCTCACGTTTGGGTCATTCCAGCATACTATATCTGTTTCTGCTAGAGTTTCCTAAATCAGTTTTTCAGGTGTGCTATCCCAGGTACTTAGTGCAATCTTAGGCAGGATGGGCAGGTACATATGATTTTCAAATACTCGGGAGGCAATGAATGAAACAAACCAAGGTTTTTACATTGTGGCTGCTTTCCCTCATGACTCTTCATGGCGGAAACCATTAAAACACGCAAAACCCTCATTTAAATACTGCCACCTTCATTGTGTTTGCTCCTGTTGTGATCTTCGCAATAATTCTTAGTTGATCACCCATAACAGGTACTAAAATGCACACGCAATATAGTACTATTTATTCGGGGTGTTAGTAAATCGGGCCCTAAATGTTTCATTTTTAAGATGTACCATGTATTCCTTCCCATAGGCCTAATGAAAGTTGTTGGTGGTTTTATCCATGACATAATTCAAAGTATATCTGAGTATTAAGCTAAATTACTGTAGACCTCTGCAGTCATGACGTGTGCAGGTGTTGACCTCATTAATAAAGCGTGAAAGCTCTTACTGAAGCTGGTTTATAAGAGAAGACATTCCTTAGCCTGTTAACCTACACATCAATCAGTTTTGTCTTCATATGAACAGACTTTCAGTTAGTACTGTATGTCTGTGTGAATGGGTTTTTATCCATCAGGTTAGCCAAAAGCTTTTCAGTAAAGTGTGCAGAGTTGATGAAATCCTCTCCCAGTGATGCCTGAACAGTCTGAGATCCAGCATGAAATATAAGATGTTAGTTTGGAAGGGATCAGCGGACCAACCAAACGGGTATTTCTGTCTGAGGAGAAGGAAATTCCATCTGAGAGCTCTGAATGGAGCTGAAATTACTCAATCCTGAATTAAGGGTTTATTTCACTTTGTACACATTCAGCTTTTAATTCACTGAGTTGGTCAAAGACAAACATTCACAGTTTGGTCTACAAACTGATTTTTATTGGATTTATTGGATTTCCAGAAAATGTACAATTTCATATAAACATAAACTGTGGTTTGAGATTTTATCCATATTGCCAAAAACACAACAGCTGCTGCAAAACAGCTGCTCTGAATCACACCCTAAACAGCAGCATGCCTACCACTAAAACACCAGAAATTACACTTAGATTAAATAAAGAGAAACAAACAATGTGGAGTTTTTTCTTATAATTAATAAATAATAACAAAAGAGATTAACACAGTTTTGGATGCATGCACTGGAACATGCATTAGTAAACAGCTAAATTTAAATATGAGAAAAGTAAAAAGTGCTAAAGACGTGTTGAGATGCTCTCCCTGTGTTAAACATCCAAACAACAGTCCAAATAAAGATTTAGGAAGAAGACAGCGAGGCGGCTAGAATGAGCTCAGTTCATCTAAAATAATATCTGCTTTGCTTCTGGGATTAAAGGAGAATAATGACAGACATCAACTTCCAGCTCCAAACTAATAAAACACATTTTATTTCCATGTGTTGAAGCCATCACAGTGAACCAGAGCAAGTTGACCAAAACATTTCCCAGCAGCCACTTCTCCCACAGCAGAGTCCAAACAGTGCTTCCTGTTCTCTACAGTTAGGTGTCTTATTGGAAATGGTCTCAGTAGATGACAGGATCTGTCTCGTCTCTATCCTTTCTATTGGCCTCCATTTCTCCTCCTGTTTCCTCCCCTTTCTCTCTCTCCCTCTTTCTCTGACTACATGAAGCTGACTGTGTGTGAAATGTTGTCATCATTCATACTGATGACCTGCTGATATCATTGCTGTCCATTCTGCAGCAACACACAGAGGCCAAAAGCTTGTCTATGAACCCTTTCCTCATGAAGACATACAGGACTGAGTCTGCAAGAGGACTGAACTTCACGAAGATAAAAGACAGGATGTCGAGGTTCTCATCATACTTTTCTTTCAGATCTTCTAGGTAAAAAATTATGTTGGGCAGGAACAGCAGGGTGTAAATAAGCAGCACCAGAACCAAAATTCCCACAATTCTTCGTTTTTGATCAGAGGGGACCGAGATGGTAGCAGACAGGGCTTTGAGGGTCCCAACCAGGGAGAATATTAACGGCGGGAAGGGAAGGAGCTGGAGGATGACGAACATTATGATGGCGACCAGATAATCAACGAAATAGAAAAGGACGACAAAGACAAGAGAAATGACCCAGACCAGGACACAGACCACCACAGAGCTCTTGATGGTTCGTCCAAAGTGGTACCACAGTGGGTGGGCGATGACCAAATACCTGTAATACAAGATGGACACAATGTCTTTGAGGAGCTTCAGAGTTATAAACTAATATAATGTTCAGACACAGAAGCAGCTCCACACATACTGGATAGACAGATAGATACCTTTCCAGGGAGATGCAGACCATGAAGTTCACACTGGCAACCAGAACAACGAGATAAAAATAGAAAAAGATCTCAGATATCTTCCAATCCTCAGGTTGTGCCACCTCAACGATCATGAAGCAGAGTTGAAGCAGGTCGGTAATGAGAAGGTTGATGAGGTAGATGGGAGCAACATGATCACTTCTCACCTGCAGGAAAACATTGGTAAAAGTCAACAAGCAGTTGGAAACATGTTGCGAAGTCCACCTCCTCCCAAATCTGTCATCTTGCTCTGCCCAGCAGCTGCAGTCAGAGCCATTTCTGACTTTTTCATCCAACAGAAATCTCAGATATGACACACTGGCCAATCACTGCAGTAACAAGACTAAGGGCCAGATTTCCTGCAGCTTCTGCAGCAGTTTTTCAGCCACAGATGTGAAGTGTTCTGGCTCAAACACATGAGCTGGATTTATCCAGACTGGAGTCGCAGTTTGAGGCTCATGTTTGTGTTTGCAAGGTGAGAATCTCTCCTCATTGTAAACGTATTATATTGACGATCGCACAAATAAGAAGAGGAGACATGTTAACAGAAGGTGGGAGTGAGCTGGGAAAGTCTGAGTTTTAGTTTCCTGAACAGTTGATCAGAATAAGTTCAATAATAATAATCTTCATTTTTAGAGCACTTTTCAAAAACAAGTTACAAAGTGCTTTAACAAGTGTAAAGACAATAATACCCAAGAGACAATAATACAAAAACAATACAAGATAAAAGCATGAAAACATTGAAAAGACTAAAATACATGTTTAAGATAAATATAAAATTAGTAAAATACAATAAAATAAAAGGGATAAAATGAAGTCAAATAAGATCAGGAAAAGCTCTCCTATAAAAGTATGTTTTAAGAAGGGACTTAAAATGTAAATGCTCCGTACTTGTATAGCGCCTTTCCAGTCTTTTCGACCACTCAAAGCGCTTTTACACTACATCTGCATTCACCAGTCATACACATTCATACACTGAGCCTAAGTGCTCAAACAGAAACTAGCAGTCACACTCATACACTGGCGGAATAGCCGCCAGGGGAAAATCGGGGTTCAGTATCATGCCCAAGGACACTTCGACACGCAACCAGGGGCAGCCAGGAATTGAACCGCCGACCTTCTGATTAACAGCCAACCCGCTCTACCTCCTGAGCCACAGCCGAGAAGAGTTAAAAGAGTTCACTGACTCAGCCTACCTGATTTCCTCGGGCAGGCTGTTCCAGAGCCTCGGGGCCCTGACAGCAAACGCTCTGTCCCCTTTAGTTTTCAGTCGAGACTCTGGAACAGACAACAGACCTCTGCCCGAGGATCTCACGGTACGTGCTGGTGTGTATGGGACTAAAAGGTCAGAAATATAACAAGGCGAGAGGCCATGAAGAGCTTTAAAAGTGATCAATAGAATTTTAAAGTCAATTCTAAAACATACTGGGAGCCAGTGTAATGAAGCTAAAATAGGAGTAATGTGGTCATATTTCTTTGTTCTGGTTAAAAGCCTGGCAGCTGAGTTCTGGACAGTCTGGAGTCGATCAATAGATTTTTGGGTTAAACAGGTGAAAAGGCTGTTGCAATAATCCAGGCGTGATGAGATGAAGGCGTGTAAAATGGTCTCGTTGTCCTTAAAAGTTAACATAGATCGAATTTTAGCTATATTTCTAAGTTGATAAAAACATGATTGAACAAGCTTTGTGGTGTGCTGCTCGAAATTTAAATTACTATCAAACCAAACACCAAGGTTCTTTGCCACAGGCTTAGTGTGATTTACTAGGGAACCAGCAGATGGCAGTATTTGATTTGCCATCTGCTGGGACCCGATGACCAGGATTTCTGTTTTGTCTGAGTTCAGCTGGAGGAAATTATTTGACATCCATTTTTTAACTTCACAAAGGCAGTTGTTAAGTGAACTCAGCATTCCAGGGTCTGTGGATCTGACGGGCAAGTATATTTGTGTGTCATCAGCATAGATATGAAAAGAAATGCCATGTTTATGGATAATATGTCCAAGGGGAAGCAGATACAAGGAAAACAAAATGGGTCCTAAGACCGACCCCTGAGGCACACCATATTTAACTGGACAGAATGAAGAGACATAGTTGTTTACAGACACGCAAAACTTCCTATTTGACAGGTAGGATGAAAACCATTCTAGGGCAGTACCAGAGATCCCCACCCAGTGCCTCAGTCTGTCTAACATGATGTTGTGATCAATGGTGTCAAAAGCAGCGCTAAGGTCCAGGAGTACCAGGACTGAGCACATGCCTTCATCAGCAGACATTAAAAGGTCATTGGTGACTTTAAGCAGGGCAGTCTCAGTGCTGTGGTACTTCCTGAAACCAGACTGAAACTTTTAAAATTATTATTTTCCAGTACAGTGAGCAGCTGTTTGGACACAATTCTTTCTAGAATCTTTGCAATAAAAGGCAGTTTTGAAATTGGTCTAAAATTATGTGGGAGGGAGGGATCTAAACCAGGTTTCTTTAAAAGTGGGTTCACGCAAGCCGTTTTAAAATAATCAGGGACACAACCAGTAGATAGGGAGCTGTTGAAAACAGAGATCAAATGGGGCCCAACAGAATCTATTACTTTCAGTAAAAATCTTGTAGGTATTACATCTAGTGGGCTGGAGGACACTCTCATTTGTGATACTGTTTTTAAAAGCTCAGACAAGTCGATGGGATAAAACTAGTTAAAACTCTCTTGTGGCTGGTGAGGAACCTCTGAGTAAGAGGCCGCGGGGGTAATAGAGGCTCTGATTGACACCACCTTATTGGTAAAATAAGATAAAAACAATTCACAGTCATCATTACTTCCGGCTGAGGCACAAGGAGGGGTTGGGTTTACCAGCTGATCCACAGTCTTAAACAGAAACCTGGGATTGTGTTTATATGTAGTAATGAGTTCAGAAAAATTGTGTGTTCTCGCATCCTTAACCATGTTATTGTAGTTAATTAATAAATCCTTCAGACTGAGGTAATGGACTTGGAGACTGGATTTTTTCCATCTGCGCTCTGCTTTCCTGCATTCCCTTTTGAGGCTGCGAATGCTGTCACTTATCCAGGGTTGCTTACTAGCTTTAGACGTAGGCCTAACCTTTAGAGGAGCAGTAATATTTAGTGACGACAAGCAGATATGATTGAAGTGATCGACCAGATTGTTGGTGTTGGAATCAGACAGGTGTTGGCTTTGGCTCTGAAAGAATGCGCAAAACTTTGAAACACTTTGTTCATTAAAGACGCGAGAACACACGGAGCTTGGTGAGGCGGCGAAAGTAACAGGCGAATCGCAGCTAAAAACAATACATCTGTGGTCAGATATGGTCATGTCCACTAATTCCAGAGAGGAAATGCTGACACCCAGGGTAAAAACCAAGTCCAGTGTATGACCACGGTTATGTGTTTGCCCTTTGACATGTTGTTTGAAGTTAAAAGAAGAGGCCATATTTAAAAAGTCAGTTGCATTAAGATTGGTGGGGTCATCAACATGAATATTAAAATCGCCACAAAGAACAATTCTGTCATAATTTAAAACCAGATTAGATAAAAATTCAGGAAGTTCTGATAAAAATCCTCCAGGCGGTTTTGGGGGGCGATAAATTATAACAAATATGATGCAGCCCTCCAACTTTAAGAGTGAGAACTTCAAAGGAGCTAAATTCATCACAGCGTACTTGATGACATTTTAAATTTTCCCTATACACGCTCACTAGCCCACCACCACGACCACTGACCCTCGGTTGACTAAAACAATCATATTGAGGCGGACACAGTTCAGCTAGCTGGCTATAGTCATTCATTTGCAACCAGGATTCAGTTAAAAACATAAAATCTAGATTTGCAGACAAGATAAAATCATTTAAGATAAAAGTCTTACTTGAAAGTGATCTCACATTGAAGAGAGCCATTTTAAATGAGTTTGTTCTGGGTGCTGGAGTTGGTGCAGTTGTCCTAATCCTTAAGAGATTACTAATATTTCTGTGTGGGATGTGCACATTTCGGTTTACTGGTCTATGCGTGATGATGACAGGAATAGAAGTCTGTGGAACAGCGCTGGGAGCAGACGGCTTTACATGCCAGCAGGTGGAGACAGTTGTTTGTGGCAGTGAGGCAGAGATCTGTTCAGTGAGCGGTGGTGTGTCCAGGTGTGCTGCATGAATGATTAGTCATTCACGTAAGTCATGTGTGGACCGCACCACATGCTGTATGTGCGCAGCTAACATTTCTGAGCCCCGTTTGTTTGGGTGAAGTCCGTCTGTCTTAAAAAGAGACATTCTTTGCCAGAAAATATTAAAATTATCCACATAAAAACACACGGTGAGCCCTGCAGGCAGACTGGAGCCAGTCTTGGAGGCCAAGGAGTCTACTGAAGCGGCCAGCACCGCGACCGACTGTGGGAATGGGACCAGAGATAAAAATGGACTTTCCACACTGCTTTAAAAAGTTAAAAAGACAGTTAAAATCTGATTTTGTCAGCTCAGACTGCTGCAGAGCTGTGTCATTTGTTCCCACATGGACTATCACTCTTGTGATGGAGGACGGGAGCGACGGCATCAGGTCCTGGTGTTTTTTTTTTAATGTCAGCTGTGTTGGCACCGGGGAAGCAGCGAGTGGTAGCGTTAAAGAAACGGATGTTTCTGGTTATGGAGTCACCAATTATTAGTGTGGTTGGGGAGAAAAGAGGACGAGGAGATGCCGGTTGTGGGGTTCCAGAGCAGGACTGAGCAGAATCTGCTTCAACACTGCGTGCGGACTGAGGATGGAGTGTGTGAGCTGTTGAGTGTTGTGTTGGAGTAGCAGTAACAGACCTGAGAGAAGGGCTACCCGACGGTACAGGGTTGAGACGGACTCCAGAGCGTCTGAGCACAGCCTCCTTCAGGATCCTACGTCGGGAAGCGGAGGTTTTTGACCGGGATGACGGCCGCCGATCAGGCCCGGTGGCAGCCCAGCGGCCCAGTGCAGGAGATGTAGCCGGTGGAGGAGATGCAATAGTGTCGGCAGGCACTGTGCGGCGAAAGAGATCCGTATCAGGGAGACTCGAAGCTGCAGGTGCATCCACTGGATGGACCGGAGTGTCGTTAGACAGGGCTGCATAGCGGTTGGAGAGGCCGATGTGCGGAGGAGAGGCAGCACCATCCAAGCCTCCCTTGCAGCCACGGACCACCACTTCAGCCCAGGTTGACTGATGCTTCGGAGTCGAGCAGGAGGAAAGCCTGGGAAGACTAGAGGGGTCCCATAACACGGTGTCCTGGATGTTAGCGGTTGCGCTAAGAGAAACAATCTGTTTGGCTTGTACTGAAGCCACATCCATAAAGCCAGTCAGCAGGGAATCTTTCTCTTTGAGTTCCTCTGAAAGTCGTCGGATGTCTTCCATAAGGTCAGCAATCTTCTTGTTCGCTTTCTTAAGGAGTGTGCAGTCCTCAAGGGGCAGAGTTATCTCGGCTAGCACAGTCACCGGAGCTTTGTTGCGATCAGTAGCGTTGATCGCGTTTTTACGGTCATCTAGCTTAAAATCCATGTCGGATGACTAAAATCCTTAACCCACGTAAAACTTAAGTTAAAAAGGATAAAATGTACAAAATGTAACGAAAAAGAGTGGATAAAACTGGATAAGAGTTCGGTTTAAGACGGAGCTTCCGACAGGTGGCTACAGACGCCTCAATCAACTCAAGTATGTTGAACCTGATGGAAGCGCCTGCGTGGGGATAAAAAAAAATCATTTATTGAGCTCTGATACTACGTGGGTAAATAACGAGCAGAGCCCCCATTTTAATCCAGTGGTGCTGTACGGGTGCCAATGTGGACCATGACAAAATCTTAAAGTTGTCTGGTTTACTGACCTAGAGTTTATCTGAACTCAGTCTCTGAAACCAAAAACCCAGAGTTTCCCGGACTTAACATACTGACAGTTCCTGCTTTCTGAAACAGGGCCCTGTTTAAACCTGCTTTAAATCTGTAATCAACTTAGCATAACCTACGCGGTACGAACCCTATTGTTTTTGTGTGTTTTAGTTATTATTATTATTATTATTTGTTGTCTGCCGCGCCAGCTCAAATTCCCGTTAGCTGGAATGAGCTAGAAATGTGAAACTTGTGGGAATAACTGGAAATGGTGTGCATCAGCTTCCATAGAAATATGAACCCAATCGGCCACATGGTGGCCTAATTAAGGCTTGCAAACTTTGAAAGGCCACGCCCCTTGTGCCATAAGTCTGATTGACTTAAAATTTCTCACACAGGTGCATTTCAATGTTCTCTACAAAAAAGCCCCAAGGACTATTAAGGTCCGCCTGGAGTTTTTTTCACGCCATTTTGAATTTTATTTTATTTTTTTCAGTGAATCATCATTGAATCAAGCCTATTAAAAGTTGTATAAAGCATGTCGATATCTCAATTACTTTAAATTAAATTAAAACAGAAATCTCAGATATGACACACTGGCCAATCACTGCAGGAACAAGACTAAGGACCAGCTTTCCTGCAGCTGAGGCTCATGTTTGTGTTTGAAAGGTAAGCCTCTCTCCTCATTGTATATGCATTTCAGGGAGGATCGCTCAAATAATAAGAGGAGACATGTTAACAGAGTTTCATTATGTTTTCACTTAGTTTGCAGAGAAACATAATGACATGCATTAAATACAGGCTTACATTTAAATAAACAACAGTTATCATAAACCTCTCTCTCTGCATGAATGGATCAAAGACAATGTTGACAAAGTGTCATCAAGAATGAGATTAAAAAAAAGAACAATTCATAAAATCAGGGGGGAAAAAACAATAAAACAAAACAATGAACACATCAATCAATCAATCAATCAATCTTTATTTATACAGCACTTAGTTGAGGCTTTAGGAATAATTAGAAAACCACTACCAGAGGACCTGAGGGTTCTAGTAGGTTCATAAGGTAAAAGCAAATCTGCTAAGTATTCTGGACCAATACCATTAAATGACTTATAAAGTAGTAAAAGGATTTTAAAATCAATTCTAAAATCAACTGGAAGCCAATGCAGAGACTTTAGGATAGGGGTTAGGTTTTGTTAAAACAGGGTTAATTAAGCGATCAATTGTTGAGAAGAGGACTTTAGGGTTGTTCTGGTTGTCTGCAATGACTTTGGAGAAGTGTGCGTGTCTTGCGTCTCTAACTGCCTTATTATATGCTTTCAACTGTTCATGAAAAATGTGGTAATTTACTGTTATTTTGTTCTTTCCTTTGCTATTCTGCATTTTTCTTCTTAATTGTTTGGTTTCTCATTTCTCCAGGGAGGTGTAGATATAGTCTTTATCTTTTTCAGTTTCAGAGGTGCCACTAAGTCAAGGGTTGACCTAAGTTTACTGTTAAAACTATCTACAATAAAATCACAGGAGGAAGGTAGTATATCGGCAGGAATATCATATAATAAATTAATAAAATTAGTTGTCACTTCAGAAGTAAGATAGCGTTTCCTCACAGTTCGATCTTGAATATCTTGTTTTATAAAGTCATTTATGGTTAAAAAAAAAAAATACACAGGAGTGATCAGACACACCTACATCCACAACAGAGGAAACGTGAGCCGACAAGCCATAGGTTATTACTAGGTCCAAAATGTGGCCTCTGTTGCGCGTAGGTTCTGTAACGTGCTGGATAAAATTCATACAGTTAAACAAGATTAAAAATCCCTCAGCATAAAAGTCGGAAGTGTTATCATTGTGTAAGTTAAAATCACCTAAAATAATTACTCTGCTAAAATTTGTGTGGATGATTGAAGACTGAAAAATCTGAAATAAAAGATGGACATCGTTTGGGAGGCCTATAAACTACCATACACAATATTGGAGGGTTGTTAAGATTAAGTGCGTGATATTCAAAGGATGTGTATTCACAAATGAGGTTGACAGGATGGTTGCTGTACCCCCACCCGTCTTGTCTTTCCTAGTGGAGTATGCGAAGTGGTAGTTTGGTGATGAGGCCTCAATAAGTGTGGCTGGGGCATCTGTGTTAAACCATGTCTCGGTTAAAAACATAAAATCAATATTATTATCTAAGATCAAATCATTAACAAGAAAGGTCTTATTTAAAAGAGATCTGACATTAATACTTAGAGTCACTGGAGGAGCATATGGTGATTCGTGTGTGTACAGGGATCTGAGGTTATAAAAGTTTGTACCATGTTTTGCACACTTGGACACAAAAGGGACTTCCAGGCGTGCATAAGTTTACAATAACTCCTGTACTTTCGTATTCTGTAAATACAGAAACACAAGCACATCAGCAGAACGTTGTCTCTACGTACAGCAGGCTGTTTACGTCTACTGACTGACGTGTGTGCCCTCCTGTCTAACCAGAAGGACCCCACACGCTGCCCAAAGTGCCTGTGTGAGCCTTACACATTATGCCCATAAACTGACCTACTAAAATATTACAGTTGTTATTGTACAATAGCATATACATTAGATTACTAAAGCAACCAATCAAAACAATTAAAATACTACATTAGAATGGGGGGGTGCCCACTGTTATGTGTCCATCAACATGCCTAACAGAGTCCATTAACAATTACTGTGGGTCCCACACTTGGTAATGTTTGACGTACCTCCTTTTTGTGATGATGACAGGTATAATAGAAGAGCCAGCATTTTGTGGGCAGGATGCGCTGTGCACAGTTTGTATAGGTGAACTGGAGTGGTGTAATGGCAGATGAGGCCAGCAGGGGGCGGTAGGCGGAGTAACTGTACTCTGAGCTGGCAGTGTGAGACGTGAAGAAGATTCCAGTGAGGGTGTGTGTGATGTAAATAGTCATTCACGTGGAGCGGACTGTACAGCGTGCTGCCAGTGCCGCTAGTGTTTGGCTACGCAGCCTGTTTGGGTGGACTCCATCTGTATTTAAAAGGGAGGAACGCCCCCAGAACAGTTTAAAATTTTCTATAAAACTGATATTGCATGCTCTGCAGGTGGAGTTTAACCAGGTATGGAGGCTAAGGATTCTGGAGAAGCACCCTGCTCCACGGGCCAGTGTGGGAATAGGACCAGACATAAAGACGGACTTTCCACATGTGCTTAAAAAGTTTATAAGGTCATTAAAATCCTTTTTGGTCAGCTCTGACTGCTCACGAGCTGCATCGTTTGTCCCCACATGGACAATTACTCGATGAATGGTGGGTGGAAGTGAGCTCAGCAGCCTCGGGAGCCTATCCAGGAGTGTCAAGACTGTGGCTCCGGGTAAGCAGTGAGTGGTTGCATTAACATGCTCTTTTTGTGGAAGAGAGTGTGTTATTGCAGTTGTTGTATTTTGATAAAAAAAAATAAAAAATACTGCTGCTAAAACTGCTCTGACTGTTTGATGTTTGTCTTGAGCTGTAACTAAATGGTGCCATTAACTTCAACAGTTTAAGAGAAGGCTGGATGGAGCCACACATGGAAACTGCATCTGTTTAGGGTCCAATCAGCTTCATGTATATTTTAATTATGGAGTCAATTATTCCTCTAAGCCCCCAGGGGACCTAGCCCCAAAACTAGATCCAGATCCTGTACAGACAGACAGACTGTAGGACAGACACACAACACAGACAGGAAATAAATAACTCTCAGTCAGAATGTACATACCATAGAATAAAGAGCATAGATGGCCACCAGGATCAGAGGAAGGCCGATAGCGATGATTATGCATGTCACCACATACACGATGAAAAGTTTTTTGCAATACTCCTCGAACTCGCTGTAATCATAGTAGGAAGAGGTGAAGTTGTAACTATAGTCGGTCACAGTGATGTTGATGTAACTCTGATAGTTGCAGATGCTGTAGCTGTAGTTATAGCTTTGGTTCTGTGAGGTGCTGTTAAAGTAGAGACCTTCCATTCTTCAGAGTGAAACCTGTTTGAGAGATCAGGTTATTAAAGTGAGCAGGTTTTTAATATCTACCTAACATTGTTCAGTGACATCACTAAAGCTGTGAGGTGAAGTTCACACAAACACAGTGTACCTATAGTTTACCCACAATCATATCAATAATCATCACAATCATATTTTAACTGCTTATTTAACTGAATCATTAACGGACTGTAACTTGTATTTGGTTATATCACTGTCCTCCTGAGACTTTTAATCAACAATAACAAACAACACAGTTCTGCATCTCAGCTTTCATCATTTCCTGAGAAACATCACTATAAATACCTCTCAGTGGATTAACGTTGGGTAGACAGAAAAAAAAGCCTTTATAAGCATGTTCTAAATATCAGGACTCTATTCTTAAAAGTCCAAGCCGCAGTATAACTTTCTTATTTATTTATAACTTCATACTTAACAGCTTGTTACAGTCAAATTTCACCAGTTTTGCAAGTGAAAAATGTAGTTAAACAAATCTGATTGTGGTTTCCTTCACCTAATTAAAAGTATGCAACGAAGAATCAAGGCAGTTCTGAAGGCAAAAGGGGGTCCAACCTGGTACTAGCAACGTGTACCTGATAAAGTGGCCAGTGAATGTATGTCAGAGATTTTCTGGACGCCTCTCAAGCAACTAGGAGTTGAGTGTTTTGCTCAGGGACACATTGGTGAACATGTCACAGTGGGAATCAAACCTGGATCTCTCACACCAAAGGCATGTTTTCTTATCCACTGCATCATCATTACCCCCAAAATGGCGATAGCCAAATGATTTAATCTCTTTACTGATTTAGATTTTGTTTTTAACAGAACCCTTGTTACATTCTGATCACAGTGAGCTTACTGAATTGTGCCCTCCAGACTGCAATTATGTTGTAGCCGGCCAGGGAGTGTAGTGGTGGTGGTGGTCTAGTAGTTGTCTATAGGAAGCACTTTAAATGCACCCAAATACACTATATGGACAAAATTATTAGGACTCACCTGTTAATCATTGAATGCAAGTGTTTAATTCACTCCCATTGGCACAGGTATAGGCCAAGCAGAAAAAGAGCTCACTGAATTCGAGCTTAGTACTGCAATTGGATTCCACCGTTGCAGCAAGTCAGTTCACGAAATGTCTTCCCTCCTAGATATTCCATGCGCGACTGTAAGTAGTATTATTGCAAAGTGGAAGCGTTTCAGAAAAACAACAACTCAGCCCTGAAGTGGCAGACAACGTAAAGTCACTGAGCGGGGCACATAGTTAAAGTTGCCAACGCTCTGCTGATTCAATGACTGCAGAGTTCCAAACCTCCTCTGGCATTAGCATCAGCACAAAAACTGTGTGCCGGGAGCTTCATGATATGAGTTTTTATGGCCGAGCAGCTGCATGCAAACCTTACATCACCAAGCACAATGCCAAGTAGCAGATAGAGGGGTGTAATGCCCTGCGCCACATGACTCTGGAGCAGTGGAAATGTGTTCTGTGGAATGATGAATCACGCTTCTCTATGTGGCACTCTGATGGATGAGTCTGGGTTTGGCGAACGTTAACTGCCTGACTGTTTGGTGGAGGAGGGATAATGCTGTGGGACTGTGTTTCTGGGGTTGGCCTACGCCCCTGAGTTCCACTGAACAGAAATTTTAAAGCCTAAAGAAAAAATCTATGCTTTCAGCTGGTGGGAACAGTTTGAGGAAGGGCCTTTTCTGTTCCAGAATGACGTGAAGTTCCCGAGTGCACAAAGCAAGGCATGGTTGGATGACTTCTGTGTGGATGAACTTTACTGGCCCACACAGAACCTTGATCAAACCCTATCGAACAACTTTAGGATGAACTGAAAGGAGTCCATCTCGTCCAACATCAGTGTCTGCCCTCACACAAAAGTTCTTCTGGATGAATCGACACAAATTCCCACAGACACACTTCCAAAACTTTGTAGAAAGGCTTCTCAGAAGAGTGGAAGCTGTTATATTCATATTATTGGCTATGGATTTAGAATGGGATGTCATAAAAGTTCCTGTAGATAAATGTGTAGATGTCCCAGTACTTTCAACAAGTGTCTGGTCAAACTCATCACCATGACCAAACTGGTTCTGGGACCTGGTTGTTAGTTGTTGGTGTTAAATTATCATTGGTCAGTCTTGCTCAAAGTATACCTGCATCGTCAATGAACAGAGATCCTCTAAATTCTGTACTCTATTGAATTCTCTTGGCAATGTGCTTCATGACATCTCTGACACAAATGATCTGGTCAGTTCTTTCAATTGAGTATGTTCCTCAACCTTGGATTTTATAACTCTTCTGAAGAGTAGAGAAACAAAACACTGGCACTATTTATTATTACTGTTAACTGCAGCTACGCCACCTGGGGAGGCGGTTGACCAAAGAGTAACACATTTCAGATATCACAGAGATAATTCAGATAGGATGAAATTCAACTATTGCAAAGTTGCAACTCAGATATCAAAGAGAGGCAGGACAGTGGGGAGAATGAGGGTGATTCCATGCTGAGTAGCGGAGGAAGACGGACGTACGACCCAGAGATGGGGAATCCACACACACACACACACATGGGGACGCCGAAGAGACCAGGCATATATGCAACAAACTGCCAGGATGAGGAGCCAAGTGAAAGAGCAACAAACACATACCGACCCCTAACCTTAGCACCATGCTCGAAAACATGTAACCACCTGAGACACAACACTCTCAGTGCTAGAAGCCTCCGTAACTGCTCCCCCCACCGACCGAGGCAGATGATGAACACTGGAATGTTGGCCAGCACTGGAATGGACGGTCTGTCACGCTGCTGTTCCGCTGGTGTCTGCCTGACTGGGTAGGGTAGCTGGTGACGCAACAGGTAACTGGTCGGTGCTGTCATGGTTGAAGACCCTTGAAGGGCGTGGCTCCACAGGGGCCTGCTCGAATAATGGAAGCAGCGGAGGAAGAGTGGGCTGGAGTTGCGATGGACCTGTCGCACCCTAGATGGGTTGTCAGCAGGTGCGATCGTGTAGAGTGGATGTTGACCCTCCTCCAGTGTTACACTTCGCACATGCTGGTCATGTTTTTTCTTTCAGCGCTCCGCCACTGCCCTCAACCGCTTTTTAGCCCCTTCAAAAGCTGTCAGCAACCGAGACTAATGTTCCTGGATCCACTCGTGCACACTACCACCGGCATGTTCTGGAAATCGACTGGAAGCCAGGGCTCTCGGACAAACATCAGGAGACTCCCCCGTAGTCTGGTGCGGCATGGTGTTGTAGCAATGGAGCACTTGTGGCAAGCAGTCATTCCAATCTCTCTTCCGGGTCACCAGCAAGAGGTTATGAAGGGTTCGGCTGAAGCGCTCGCACTGGCCGTTTCCTGCCGGATGGTAAGGAGTGGTGTGGGACTTCTTGATGGCATACAGGCTGAAAAGCTACTGGATGAGGGAACTCTCAAAATTGCGGCCTTGATCAGAATAGAGGCAAAAATAGATAGAGGAAACCATTCATTCACCAGTGCTTTCGCCACTGTGTCAGCACGTCGGTCTCTAGTGGGCACAGCAAGCGTGTGTTTGCTGAACACATCGGCCATCACCAGCACATTTTCCAAGCCATTTCTAGCGGGCTCCAGCATGGTGTAATTGATGGCCAAGATTTCATAAGGCTGTGAAGCCAACAAATGCTCCATGTAGCTCCGGGCAGCCGGCTGAGTGTCTTTGACTTATTGGCACCTCTCACAGGCTTGGCACAAATGCACCACCTCAGCAGACATCTTTGGCCAGTAACACCACTATTGTAACAGCTGTAAGGTTCTCTCCACCCCTTGATGGACATGCTCCTGGTGCATCTGGGTTAGCACCTCCTCCTTCAAGATAGCTGGGAAAAGTACTCGGTACAGTGCTTCAGCACCATCAGGGTGAAGCACTTTGCACTCCATCTTTTTCAACCAGGCGGTCCCATTGCTGGAGCAGCATCTGAGCCAGCTGACTTTATAGCTTCTGCTCCTCTTGGATGGGACACTGGTTATGTTTCCAGAATGTCACCACTGCTCGGATCACTGGATCAGCCTGTTGAAGATCACTCATGTCAGCAGGGAAATACTGTGGCAACACCATGACAGCTGCTTGGGTGGCCTGAACCTTTCTAGCCTGGAGTTCTTGTCGCAGAGGTTTTGGAAGAGAGGTCCCAGGCAACATAACTTCCAAATCTTCACCCCCGGATGGATACTGACGAGAGAGTGCATCTGCATTTCCGTTGCTCTTACTATATTGGTACTTGACCTTGAAGTCAAAAGCTGCAAATTGGGCTGCCCACCGCTGCTCCATGGCTCCCGGCTTGGCAGTTGATAAATGGCTAAGGGGGTTTTTGTCCATATAAACCTCACAGTCACAGCCCAGCAGGTACGGAACTTTCGAGTCATGGCCCACTTGAACGCCAAAAACTCCAATTTCATGGAGCTATAGTTGGACATGTTGCACTCAGCGAGCCTCAGCCCTCTGCTGGCGTAAGCGATGGGATGGAGCTTGCCATCTTACTTCTGGGACAGTACGGCCCCTAGAACCCTGAAACTTGCGTTGACCTCCAACACAAAGGCAGCGAGAAGTCAGTATAGTCTTAGTCTTCAAGGCCTCAAAACTGCGGTTGCACTCCTCTCTCCACCTCTCTCCAACATGCTGCTCTACACTGTCTCTGGACATGGTAACTTCATTCTCTGCCACCAACTTGTGCAAAGGTTCCGCCATCTTGGCGAAGCCTTCCACAAACCGCCGATAGCAGTTGACAAACCCAAGAAATGACCTCAAGGTGCTGGGGGCGTTACAAAGGCCAAAGGGCATCCGGTTCCACCCAAAAAGGCAGTTTTAGCACAATCTTTCTCTGCAATGGGGACTTGGTTGTACCCACTGGCCAGATGTAAGGTAGAAAACCAGCGGACACCAGTTGATGAGTCCAACGACTCCTCAATCCGTGGCAAAGGGAAGGCATCCTTATGTGTCTTGCTTGATGCGCAAGCTACCATCCTTCTTCCG